GCTTATATAGGATGATCAGAAAATTTACATTGATAAGAGATCATTTAGATTCTTTCTCTCTACATAATTCGTCCAACACAACAGATATTACACATTGTATAAGACCTATTTGTTATATAACTGCCAAATTCATAAGAGGAAATGATTCTAATTACCCAATTCGTCCTCCAGATATTGGTACTCAAAAGCAAAGTCCTGTTTGATCATCGAGCACCTACACACATGAAGGTGTGACAAATGCATATATTTTCACAAGGACTTGAATATAAATAATGATGCAACAAGAATCTAAGTCTTATATTACCATCCACGTTGGCCGTCTTTGTCAATGTTGTAGTCGAAGTATATGTATGCGCCTTGTTCATATTCATCGGTTGCAACCTTTGGTTCTTCACGACGTTGAAACCATGCATTCAGTTTCTTGTGATATCTCCAAGCCTGCTTCTTCAGCTCTCTAGCTGCTAAATGTTGCTGGTACGAATTCTGCAATTTAAGACCTTGTTCAGCGCACCAGAAATGTAAATGTTTGGTTCTGTTTGTATACGTAAAACCACCTACACTCTAAGTTGCATTCAGGACAACAGATTATTATGGAATATCGTGAAACCTACCAAGTGCTATCAGAAGCTTACTAATCGATGTTTTATGTACCTGTTGATAGTAAAACGCAAAGAACAAAGTATCGTTGCTGATTCTTTCCCAAAACATCGGATTGTTAATGACAGGTGCCTGGACTTGAGGATAGCTTGAAGGGGTTGCTATGGGTCGTCTCTGCAAGAAAGAATGCATAAGTTTGTACCGATATGGTTGTTTCAAAGCGATATGAGACTCCCTAGTCACGTAAATAACTAATATGTGGAACCAATGAGGACAGAAAATGGCTTACAAAGTGTTTGATTCAGCTACAAAAAGTAGAAAAGCAGGTCGAGTTTACGGTTGGTCACCGAAACTTACAAACATTAGATTCACAACATGCAACATTATTTGATGAACTGAGAGATTTTTCCTAGATAAGTATAACTATTCTGCCAAATAAGATCCATGATTGTATGTTTTTCCACAAAGGCATATTGGGATTTGACAGTAGAATCTGAATTTCATACCGGATGATACTGTCTTGGACGTTCAGAGTCTTTTGGCAGGGGAATTCTTTTCATAGCAGCCTCGAGAATCTGATATTTTAATCTTCGGTCATGGATTTCCTCTGTTTCCCTTGTGCCATCGCCTATGGTCCCAAAATCAGCACTACCTCCGCGACCAGTGGCACCCAGAGTACCTGATTGTTGATTGGATATGGCTTCTCCTTGGGAGAAATCAGCTCTAGCTGGCTCTGAGAGAGACACCTTGATGAAATCACAAGAGTTAAGATGGGTAGACCCTGATTTGAAACATAAACATAATAAAATACAAAATACGGGATATAAGTGGAAGCAAGCAAGGAGAAAAATATATAGTACAAGGGACTGTCTGTAGGGTAAGAGATTTCATACAGGAGATATAGGCTCAACTTTAAGATCATCCTCAATGTTCTTTGAAACTGATTCTGGAATCAACTCACGTTGTAAGTTCAGTTGTACATCTGCAGCAAAATTGTCAAGAGCATCTTTCAGCGACATATACAAGAGCTAGTACAGATTAATAAAAAGTAAAAGACCCCACAGATTTTCTTCTATAAGATGTAAATTGTGAAAGAGAGATTGATCTGCCATAATCATCTGTACTCGATACTTTATATCTTTTACCGAACATGCTAATTTACACTCCCTGTCTGTCTTACAGTAAGGAAAGAAATCCATAGGTATCAACTTGTAAAATCTCAAAGTAAATCAACTTTATTCTGTTTCTACCAAAATACTTCTCTTCAAGGCTTATCAAAATCATGTTTCAAAGAAAAAGATGCAGTACCGAACAGCACTACAATACCAATAATGTCAAGTGTTTATGAGCACGGAACTTGATTGCTTGCACGTTGGCTATGTAAATGATAAATGCATTTCCATCAACCCTGACTGTGCATGAACCGACATAACAAAGTACAACAATATATTTGGTACTACCTGACATCAGTTGTTGATTAAGTTGTTGTTGCATGGAATTTGAGTGCTGTTGTAGGCCAGGTATGTGAAATCCAGACCCTGTACCACCGTGAAGTGTCGGCGATGACACCTGGAAGAGTAAAGATGATAAAAAAATGGGTTATATGTGGAATAATAAAACTGTGTCAAAGTACTTCAAAAGAAAGAAAAAATGTTGTCGTAGAGAAAGAGAGCACCTGCTGTGAGAGCGAATTTTGCTGTGGTGTAGACATTTGCTTACTGTTTCCACCAAGCGGAGTCATACCTAACAGATTACTGTGACCCTGCTGTTGAACTTGCTGTAACCGATGCAGGAATTTCTCCTTCTGATCGGGTACTATCTCAGTACGCCCATGAAACTGGCCCTGAAATAGAAACCCATGTAAAAACCGAAAATAAAACAACTCCACAAAACTATTCTAAGATAGAGCCAGATTCTGGCCATCCCAAGAAAAAGGAATCAAAGATTACCACACGAGCTGGAGTTAGTCTACTACAGGAAAAACAATGGTGGATAAGGAGTGGACAAAATTGCATTAGTTAGATGAAAATGTTGCAGAGACGACATACAGTTTCGCTCTGATTTTGGAAAGGACTGCCTGGCCTCCAATGCGTGCCAGGCACTGAAGAAGGTGAAAAAGCTCTGGTGGTTACAATGGCCTCACTCGCATTGTCCTCAATCCCATTGGCTACATCATTGCTTCTAGCAGCCCAAGGCAGGATCATTCTGTTACTCAATGGCGACAGAGGAGGCTGCCCAGAGGTATTTCCTAATCTACTTTCAATATCCAGCATGCTTCTTTTTGCGTTTTCAGATGGCAATACAACTCTGCTTTGAGTTCCACTGCTTGGACCACCACCATGAGATAGAGGAATACCTGGAGGAAAATTGATGGATAAGTTATTTCTTCCGCCTCTTATTGCGCCAATATCTCCTAGCAAGGGAGATGATCTCATACCAGGAAAGTTTCCTGTATCTTCATTTTTGGAGAGTGAAGGGGTAACTGTAGTAGGAGAATTCAAAGTGTCCTCCAAAAATTTTGTTTCCACAGTCAATTTTTGAGGTAGAATGTTGACAGGAATAGAAGTGGTCGGGCTCTTAGCTGGTGAAGTGGCTGCTGGATGAACATTTGTTCTAATTGTCGATGGAGGACTTTTTGGTACCGCATCCGTATTAAAAACTAGTGAAGCTTTATCTTCTGTATCTTCCTGTGTTGCACTCTGACGAAGAGGGGTAACAGTGCTCTGAAACGTCACAAATGGGCTCAAAAGTCAAGACATATTACGAGGAAAAAACTGGCATACAAACATAACATTACCGATGACGCCACCAAATTGGGCTCCATCAGTTCATAGCTCTGAAGAGAAATAATTTGGTAGAAGTCAGAATATCAATCAACAAAGACAATCCGGAAACTTCCTAGTCGAAGATCAATATTTGAACACAGCCCACTTACATAATGAAACAAGAAAACATTACTGGAATGGAGAATCTGAATTTATATTTATAGGTAAACTGATGCAAACGTTCATCACAACTGACAATTCTTTTACATTTTTTGGAACACAACTAAAATCCAAAGCAAGTTCCTCTCTTTCTATAAAAATAAAAGGACTGGTTCTATGCTGTAAAAACTGTGAAATTTTAGTCGATAGTAGATGGTAACAAAAGAAAAGACATACAGGCATCATCGATTCTGACCCTGCCGAAGAATTCTTTAAGCTAATTGGCGTGCCCTGTCAACATTGATATACGGCTTACCAAATATTCAAAAGAGAGAAAGTAACAACTTTACAACAAACTAAGAAACAATGTATTGATTCAACACAGGAGAGGAAAAACTTTTATCACCTTAAGAAGAGGACCAGTGGTCACCAAATCTTCAAGACTCTCTACCTTGTCTAGTGGCAATGAGCTGTACAGTTCATCGACGTCACTAAACTCATCAAAATCATCCTGTAAAGCCAAGAAAAGCATGATTAATGTGGAATAATGAAAACGGAAAAATTATTGCATGCAGGAAATAAGGAAAGAGATTTTCAAATTTGAGATATTTTTGTACAAAGTAAAACGTTTGTTTACAAACAATAAAATTGGATTCATATCATAGCAGAAGGACATAAACCTGATTACGCTCAACATAGTCATCCAAAAAGTCTTTGATATCATTGACTTGCTCCGGACTCAATTCGCCGTTGTCTAGAAGCCTCAGGATCAGTTCTAGCTTCATTATATGAGCCCTGTGTCTAGTTATAGACGTCTCCAAATGTATCTGATCGAATAGAAGAAATTTAAATCACCAAAAAAAAAAAAAACGGGAGCTCGATTTTGGATGGGTTCCCTTCTCTGCCTACCAGTCTGGGGGGCCTAGCCTTCCCTTTCTTAACAGCCAGTCCTTCAAGCTCAGCTTCAAAGCTATCAATCTGCGTTTCTAGCTCTCCAACCTATGAAGAGGCATCACAACACATTTATCTTAATATATGACATAATACAAATAACTGATCCTAGAGTAAAATTTAAGAGAAAATACATTTCTATCAAATTTGGAAATACTAGAGGAAACTAACTAGATAGCAAACAGCCAGAATTGAACAAACTAAAACAGAACTAAACGGTCAAAGAGACACTGAGGTCACAAATTTGGAATCCTTGAAATAAAACAAGCTTTTCTATGCTTGTGTAACTATATAAAAAGATTAGAACTATTGACATTGATCAAAAAGCTTAATTTTTTTACCACATTGTTCAACCAATCTCTTGTCTTTGATTTTGCCTTCTCCTTTGGATCCTGTGCAAGGAAGACTTAATGAGGTGATGAGTAGCTCGAATGAAGAATTCCATTGCATGGATAACTAAAGCTATCAGAAATTATCTAGCACAATAAAAAGTATGATAGTGAACAAGCAGACAAAGATCCAAAACAAACGCATGTAAAGGATTTAAGCTTGTATATAAGCATCTAGCTGCCAAGGTTGAATACAAGAAAAGAAAAAAAACTAGTTAAGTGTGAAAACATATTGGCGACAGAATTTAGCTTCGTACAATGCAGAATTCTAAGTCTCAACCCAAAGTTTCATCCTTTTAATTCCCAATACGTTTAGGGACGGGTTGTAACAGGGAATAATAGGTGAATGAGCCCAATCACTAAAGCGTTAAGAACGTCTGGGCACATACACACTAAAGACTTGCATCATCCATATATATTAGCACATACTTCTACAGTCATTTTGGGTGTACCTAAATCGGGTACTTGTCTAGTACTAGTAATAGGTAGAAGAAGCAGATAACATATAGTGCTTACTGTTTTCGGCTGCTGACCCAAACCTTCTTTAGAAAATGCTTTCGTCTTTGTTTCTTTCTCGCATATTTTAAACCTCTCCATTTCACGCTCAATAAGTTTGCGAGCTTCCACCAATTGCTGCTCATAAGAGGCACTAACCTGCAACAAATAAAACCAATTTTTGCTTCAGCCAAAAACACAATTTCTGAGCACAAGACAGCTGATACTGGTTACAAGATAATACACATGATTGTACCTGAATTACAGTACTAAGTTGCTGCAGAGACGATAACTTAACCGATCAAACTTTTACCAAAAAAAAACAAGACACTAAAAACAAAGATTCAAGTGAAACCTTTTTATCCTTGATCTCGGTAGTTTGAGTCCATGTCTTGATCTGATCCCTATACCTCTGCAATTTCTTGATCTCTTTCTTCAAATCGGCCTCAAATTTCTCCTTTTGGTTTGCGTTATCTGTGTCGTAAACCTAACCACCAAATAGGGAGTTTTTCTAGGTTTCCGAAATTGTGGAAGTGATCGAAGAAGAGGAAGGGAGAAATATGTAGGACCTTGTTCCAGATGCTTTCGAAGACTTCGACGCCTTCATGAACCTTCTTCAGAACACGATCGATCTCGCTCTGTAGCTTCCTCGTTGCCCCCATTAGAACGAACCTTCGAGACTAAAAAACTGTTCGGCTTCTTTAGAGATCACAAGGAATTGATTTTGTGTGTGTGTTTTAGAGTCTCAC